AGGCCCTGTGATCATGGCAGGTCAGTGGTCATCTTCTGGGCACCACACAAATAACTCATTTGCTAGTCTGAATTGACCAGGGTGGGGGCAGGAAATGGGATGTGTAAGAGTAAATTCCTCACCTGCTTACACATGGAAATTTGATATTATTTAATTTGACTTAAAGAAAATTAATGCGTATTGCTTATATATCCTTTGTTGTGAACTTGAGTTTTATTCTGGTTGAAGATGGATCTTTTGAAAATAACTGCTGTATCTATAAACATAGCCAAGCAGAGCATATTATTGTTTTTTAAAAATTATATTTCTACTACAGCTCATCTTTTCAACTTGAAGATATAATGATGGTTAAAACAGGTAATGCTAAAGTAAGTGTTGCTGTATGTTGTCATTGCTCAAAGACAACTGAGAACAGCAACAGGCCTTGAGTATACACCTTAGAAGTTGGAATATGAATGTGCCTTGCTAGAACATCTCCAGGTCTGTTCCATTCATCAATACCAGCTGAGCGGATGTCCTCATATTTCAGATGCACTCTTTTTATAAGTTAGAGCTGCACCTCACCATTCTCCTTTATGGAGGTATATAGGATGTGTTCCACCTGGCTCTCAGTCAAATCGTGTCTTCCTCTAGTCCCTAAAGAGGCCAAAAGGATCTGTTTCAATTTCAGTTTCCTTAAATATGCTATTTAAATATTTTAAGGCAAATTGAGTGCTTTTGGATGTAAGTAATCCAAGTTTGTCTCCCCAGTTTTCATCTATGTGCATGGCTTCATGTTAGAGCAAGTATGCGTGGAAACCCATTTTACTAATGATATAGATAGATTAAGCAGAGTTTTATGTATCCTGTCAGAAGCCAGTTGCTAATTCATCAGGAGAATTAAGTATACTCCAGGGGAAAGAGTCCAAACATTACTTTTAATGCTGGCAGCAAGAATTGATAAAATGCCTATCATCTATGGTAACAGAATCCTTTTTGATTTATGTACTTTTTGAGGTGAAAATAAAAATGGGAAATGCTAACACGTATCGCTGGAAAAGTTCATGAGAGAGCATAGAAACCTTAAGAACACCTCTCGAAAGTTGCACAAAATGCCATCAGTCAATCAGAAGTCCCTAGAGATGGTTCAAAGGACTTAACAGCCCAATCACTTCTAAAATTGATTTGCTTATTTGAAAACGGTCCTTTATGAGTACTCATTAAGATGATGCAAATAGGCCGGCTGTTTGGCCTTTCCTGATTCTATTTCAGTTATGCCAGAAGATCTTTTCATAAAGTTTGAAGGCTCACTAGCTTATCAAAACCTGCACATTCTCATCAAAGAATACATCCAAATAGTATTTATTGTGTGCCTACTGAGTGCCAGGTGTGGCATCACAGGCTCATAATTCAACCTCAAGGTCAGTTTCAGCTTTATAATAGCTGAAGAAAAGAAAGAAGGTCGTTAGATCGTAGTAAGAAGGGAAGAGATTTCCAAAAAAGGTCATCCAATGGTTATCTCCAGTGGGATGCAGTTGATGGACAGCATGAAGCAAGTCTACCAGATTGTGAAACCCCTCAACCCCAACTTCTGTTTCCTCCAGTGCACCAGCGCATACCCACTTGAGGCCGAGGATGTCAACCTACAGATCATCTTGGAATATCGGAAGTTCTTTCCTGACATTCCCATAGGGTATTCTGGACATGAAGCAGGCATCATGATATCTGTGGCTACAGTGGCTCTAGGGGTCAAGGTGTTAGAACGTCACATCACTTTGGACATGACCTGGAAAGGGAGTGACCACTCGGCCTTGCTGGATTCAGAAGAGCTGGCTGAGTTGGTGTGGTCTGTGTGCCTTGTGGAGAAGGCCTTGGGCTCCCCGACTAAGCAGCTGCTGGCCTGTGAGATCACCTGCAACCAGAAGCTTGGTAAGTCTGTGGTGGCCAAAGTGAAAATTCCAGAAGGCACCGTTTTAACACTAGACATGCTCACTGAGAAGGTGGGTGAGCCAAACGGCTATCCCCTTGAAGACATCTTCAAGCTGATAGGCAAGAAGGTTCTAGTCATGGAAGGATCTGTAGAAAATCAAGGCAAAAAAAACCAAAAAACAAAATTTAAAATAAAGTGCCATTCTCTGAACTCTGAGAAAAAAAAAAAAAAAAAGGTCAGTGATGTACACTGGACCCAGAAAATGTATGGATTTTGTTCTGATACAGTAGAATGTCATGTGTTCAGTGGAGTTATAAGAACTGACTTATGTTTTAAAAGGAGCACAGTGGCTCTGTAGGATAACTACAACGTCAGTGCTACAAGCCCACCAGCTGCACCACTAGAGAAAGATGTGGCTTTCTGCTCCCACATAGATTTACAGTCTCAGAAACCCTATACAGAATCTCTTTGTGTTCAGACTTGACAGCACTTAACAACAACAATGTAATAAAATATATATTTGTCTGACTTCTGTGTGGAGAACAAGCTATAATGAGGATAAGAAAGAAAGCAGAGAGGCTGGTTATAACACAAGTATGCAGTTCAGGAAAGAGGAGGTGGTAGCTTGGAATCAAGTGGTTTTATAAAGATAGGGAGGAGATGTGGGTGGATTTGAGACGCAGTTTGACCTTGAGTGAAGGAATGATGGTTTGGAGGTGGAGAAGGTAAAGGAAAGACAAGAAAGATCTAACTCTGGCTTTTGACTTGATCAGCCCATACATTGTGCTTCTGGTTATTTTGCATGGCCATTTCTAAATAAAAATTTTATAGCTGAACCAAAAATATCTTCTTTTGTAGGCAAACCAAATTGAATTGGACCATTTGGGTCCAAATAGTGTCGTGAGTTTGTTTGTTTGTTTAATCACTAACATTTAGAGACGATACTAAATTGGAACGATTCATTTTCCTGTATCTTCTCAATGTAGTGATAACTTATTTTGATTTATAGCAGCACCTGTGTTTGAACTGATGATTGATTCACCATCCGTAGGTGTTAGGGATTAGGCATGATTCTTCCAGGGAACAAATCCTGAGTAGGAAGAACAGAATGCTTGCCTTTTTGCCAAGATGTGTTAGGATTTCTCTAGAATCCTTTCCTCTTTTTAAAGGTCAAGAGAAAGCCATTCGGAAGACAAGGAATTTATGCCAAATGCTGATTCTTATCCAAGGTTAACATGTCTTGAGTTCCTCTCAGCAAATTGATTTCTCCTTGAGATTTCACTTAAAAAGAAATATTTTATTACATAATGAGGTAAATGAATGCCCTGCAAATGCGGTGTGCCTCTGTGATATGCAGAGTAGTTTAGTTTTTATTCACTTAGCAAACCATTTATTCTATTATCACATAATCACTTCTAACCTAAATAAAGCATTTAGAACGTAATGCACAATGAATCCTACCTTTTAGCAGCTTTATTGCTGTATCAGTTATTAATTTAAATTTGTGTCATTTTGAGTTAACAAGAGAGATAGTTAAAAGATTTGTTTGCATTAGATCATATTGAATATCCTATATGTTGGGTTATTTAACATTGCAAGGATAAACGATGATATGGTTATTGCAATGTAGACATTCTTATAGTGCATTTCATCCTCAAGCATCCAAAAGAGCTTTAAACCCATACATACAAGAGAGTCATACAACTCTCAAGTGGCAAAGCGGCCCAGGAGATCAGTGTCTGAGTTTCAGAAGTGGTAAAGTTCTTGACAGTTAACGTCCCAAGACATAAGACTTAGCAAGAATTTGGTGGTGGTGGTGGTGGTTATGTGCCGTGGAGTCGGTTTCGACTCACAGCAACCCTGTACAGCATTTCTGAGGCTGTAAATCTTAAGAGCAACAGAAAGCCTCATTTTTCTCCTTTGAAACAGCTGGCAGTTTTGAACTGCTGACTTTGAGGTTAGCAGCCCAATTAGTACCCACTATGCTACCAGAGCTCGTCTAGCAAGAACTTAAAACTTCATATATTTGCTGTTCTTAAGTGTCATTCAGTCAGTTCAGATTCACAGCGATCCTGCATAGGATTTCCTAGGAGCGGTTGGTGGGTTTGAACCATCGACCTTGTGGTTACCAGTCCAGCATATATCCAACAACACCACACCAGGAGTCATATCTGTTGTTGGTAAGTGCCATCCAGTTGACTCTGAATCATAGCAACCCTGTATAGGGTTTTCTTGGAGTGGCTGGTGTGTTTGAACTGCCAACTTTACTGTTCAAGCTGACCTTTTGTTTCAGTTCTTATCCTACAGCACCACACCAAGACTCCAAGACTCATACTAAAGACCTAAAATTATACAAGGTAGGTTTAATCTTAGTTTTTGTAAGCTATGCTTGGAGGGTTATAAAATTCCTTTGCCTCTGGCTTCCTTTTAATATGAGGCTGTGTCTTCAGTTGGAGAAGTTACATGCTAGATGGGGTGAGGGGAACGTAAGCCCCAGACAACACTACTCTCCTTGTATATTTTCTTGAAAGGATATCATGGAGGGAAACTGATCCAGAAAAGGGAAAATTGTACCAGAAGCCAACATGGTTAGAAATCTAGATGCAACTGGGAGAGATTCCAATGTCAGTGCCTCAGTGTAAGCCCAAATAAGACAAGGATACAACTGAATGGGACAATTAACATAGAATGTTGTTGTTGTTAGGTGCTGTTGAGTTGGTTCAGACTCATAGTGACCCTATGCACAACAGAATGAAACACTGCTCAATCCTGAACCATTCTCACAAGCACTGTTAAGCTTGAGCCCATTGCTGCTGCCGCTGTGCCAATCCTTCTCATTGGGGGTCTTCCTATTTTTTACTGACCCTCCACTTTATTAAGCATGATGTCCTTCACCAAGGACTCATCCATCCTGATGTATGTCCAGAATATGGGAGACAAAATCTCACAAGCCTATCTTCTAAGGAACATTCTGGTTGTTACTTCTTCCAACACAGATTTATTGTTTTTTCAGACAGTTTATGGTAATTTTAATATTCTTCTATAGCACCACAACTCAAATGCATCAATTATTTTACGGTCTTCTTTAGTCATTGTTCAACTTTCACATGCGTATGAACCTGCTGAAAATACCATGGCTTGGGTCAGGTACCTTAGTCCTAAACCTGACATCTTTGTCTTGAACATTTAAAAGATGTCTTGTGCAGCAGATCTGCCTAATACAATGATGCAATACATCATTTGATATTTTGACTGCTGCTTATATGAGTGATGATAGTGAATCAAAGCAAAATGAATTCTGACAACTTCAAGCTTCTTCCTCAATTTATCATGATGCTATTTATTGGTCCAATGGTGATTTTTGTTTTCTTTAAATTGCAATGCAACCTATATTGAAGACTGTGGTCTGTGAGTCAGTAAGTATTTTAAGTCATTTTCACATTCAGCAAGCAAGGTTGTTAATGAGTCTTCCTCCAATCCTGATGCTACACCATGTTCCAGCTTCTCAGATTATTTACTCAGTATACAGATTGGGTAATATGGTGAACGAATATAACGTTGGAGCGCTTTCCTGATTTTAAATCATTCAGTATTCCCTTGTTTTTCAAATGACTGTCTCTTGGTCAATGTACAGGCTCCTCATGACCACAATTAAGTATTTTGGAGTATTCATTCACCACAATGTTGTCTATAATGTGCCATGATCCACACACTTGATAGCCTTTGCATAGTTAATAAAGCACAAGTAAGCATTTTTCTGGTATTCTCTGCTTTCAGCCAAGATCAATCTGACATCGCAAATGATATCCCTAGTTCCAGGTCCTTGTCAAAATTTGGAACTTCCCTGTCAATGTACTGTTACAGAGGTTCTTGAATTACTTTTAGAAAAATTTTACTTGCATGTGAGAGTAACAATATTGTTTGATGATGTCTGCATTCTTCTAGGTTATCTCTCTTTGAAATGAACACAAATATGGATCTCTTTCAATCAGTTGGCCAGGTGGCTGTCTTCCAAATTTATTGATTTAGATGACTGAGTGCTTCCAGTGCTATATCAGTTTGTTGAAATATTTCACTTTCTATTCCTTTAATTCCCAGAGCCTTGTTCTTTGCCAATGCCTTCAGCGCACCCTGGACTTTTTCCTTCAATACCAATGTTTTTGTTTTGTTTTGTTTTTGTTTTTTAATCATATACTATGTTTTGAAATAGTTAAACATCGTCCATTTCTTTTGGTACAGGGACTCTGTGTATTTCTTCCATCTTCATTTGATGACTTCTACATCATTGAATATTTTGCCTATAGAATTCTTCAATATTTCAATTAGATGCTTGGATTTTTTTCTTCAGTCCTTTCAGCTTGAGAAATGCTGAATGTGTTCTTTTCTTTTGGTTTTCTGTCTCCAGATTTTTGCACATGTCATTATAATACTTGACTTTGCATTGTTGAGCTGCCCTTTGAAAGTTTCTATTCAGCTCTTTTATGTCCTTATTTCTTCCATTTACTTCAGCTGGAGAGAAAGTTTCAGTCTTTTCTGACATCCATGTTGGTCTTTCTTTCTTTTTTGTATTCTTAATCAACGTTTGCTTTCTTCTTGTATGATGTTTTTGTTGCCATATTACAACTCTTCTGGTCTTCAGCCATTAGTATCTAATGCATCAAATCTGTTATTGAGATGATCTCTAAATTCAAGTTGAATAGATTCAGTGCCTTATATTCAAGGTCATGTTACATTATGAATAGCACCAGAATATAGTCAGATATACTGCAGAAGACGAGGCCCTCAAGTTGGAATGTACTCAGAATACTACTGAGGAAGAATTGCTTCCTCAAAGTAGAGTTGGCCAGGAGGACAAATGGAGTTATGCTTTAGGGGTCTTAATTTGCTGATGGGACACAACCCAAAATGAAGAGCAATAGCTATAAACAACCATTAACATTCAGAATATGGAATGCACGCATTATGAAACTAGGAAAATTGGAAGTTACCAAAAGTAAAATGGAATGCATAAAGATTGATATCCTAGACATTAATGAGCTGAAATTGACTGGTAATGACCATTTGGAATCTGGTAATCATGTGATTTACTATGCTGGAAATGACAAATTGAAAAGGAATAACAACCTGTTCATCATTAAAAAGAATCTTTCAAGGTCTATCTTAAGTACAATGTTGTCTGTGATAGGATAATGTCCATATGCCTACCAGGCAGACCAGATAATACCACTATTATTCAAATTTGCATGCCAACCACCAAAGCCAGTGGTAATGAAATTGAAATACTTCATTCTGAAATTGATCAAACATGCAATTAAAATGTGTTGATAATTACTGGTGTTTGGAATGCAGAGTTTGGAAATAAAGAGGAAGGATTGGTAGTTAGAAAATATGGCCTTGGGGATAGAAAAGATGCTGGAGATTACATGACAGAATTTTTCAACTCTAATGACTTCTTCATTGCAAATAACATTTTTAAATAACATAAAAGATGGTGATACACATGGACCTCACCAGAAAGAAGATACAGAAATCAAATCCATATAATTCATCAGACAAAACAATGTCAGGGGAAGACTGGAACAAATCATCAATTCCTCATATGCAAGCTCAGGCTGAAGTTGAAGAAAGTGAAAAGTCCATGAGAGCCAAAATATGACTTTGAACATATCCCACCTGAATTTAGAGATTATCTCATGAAAAGATGTGATGTATTATACAGTAATGTTCGAAGACTAGAAGAGCTGCAGGATGACATCAAAAATACCATACACTAAGAGAGCAAAAGGTCATAAAATGACAGGAAAGTAAGAAAAGACCAAAACAGACGTTAGAAGAGACTCTGAAACTTGTTCTCCAGCATAGAGATGCTAAA